AATCAGACACTTACTGACACTATAGAGATTCAGACAACTTGAGGTAGTTTATACTCATTGTACTTGACTAAATGTGCAATATAGAATTGAAGAGTGACACCAAGGAAACTTTATATTTTCAAAGGTAAATCACAACTTGTTTAGTGCTAAGTGATATTAACAGTTTTCTCTATAGCAAAGGCAAGAAGCTTTCAATTATCCCTTTTAATTTTCTAACAAGAATTATAACATAGTAATCATATGACTTGTTAAAATCATATCAAAAGAATATTGTAAATCTTTTTGAGCATTTTGAATACATAAATACTTATCACAGGATTTTATTATTTTTTTTTTTAGGTTATCATGTTGATATTTTCTGATTTCTAATCTATTGAGATTTGAATATGTAATTTATCTAAAAATTGAAGTAAGATACATTTTGGTCTAGAGGCAAACAGATCAGCAATGCTGATGTAAGAGAAATAACAATAAAACAATCTATACCTTAATTCTCTGATGAGAAACCAGAAAGCTGAACATCCACATTCAAGTATTGTTTCCATATTTACTGATTACAAATATATCATCACTAAATTATATAAATATCAGCAAAGGAAGTGACAGGCATATTAACAAGATAAGCTAATAGTCAGACTTGTTTGAAAATCAATAATTAATGAGAGTTTTTTGTTGTTTTTTTTCTCACTATTGTTCACCCAATACAAGGCTTAAGTACCACTCAAGGTAGATGGTTACTAAATAGGGATGTTGTAACAGGGTATAGGGAGAACCATAATTACATATTATGAGGATATGTAGGATAGATAATGGTTGACCTTCAGCTTAAAGAGGTTAAGATTGTAGTGATCGGGGAAGCATGGTTTTAGGGGTTCATTCCATATTGCAATAGTTCTTGGGAAGAAGCTCAGTGTACTCCTTTCCAATGGAATATGAAGGGAATGATAATGAGTTGATCCTCTGTATGTGGCATGGTGGGTCTTAGCTTTGAAAGTCTGGACTGGTGGCACCAAGCAAACATTTTTGGACGGTTGAGCCTGGAAAATGAGGATTGGCCAGTTCTGTCATTTTTGTTCTGTTCTGGCTCTTATAGAGATAGAGCATGTCAGAAGGTACCATGTACTTTCTGGAGTACTACAGGGTGCCATTCATTTTTCCAACATTTTTAGTGATGGATCATATATATGAGTTTCACTTGAGTTCTGGTGTGAGATTGAGTTCCAATAGGCATTCCAACCTATGAGCCGCCTTGAGAGTACAATTGTTCAATATGACTGCAGAAAAGTGAAGATCTTTTCTGTGGTGATGAACCATTACTAACTTGATTTTGGAGGTACTTAATGTTACAAGCCAGTTCCTTCCCCCATTGTGCAAACAGACACAGAAATATTTTAATTGCAATCAGGAAATATTGTTTGGATCATAAGTTCAAATTTACTATTTCAATTATTTAAGCTTAAAATAAAAATGAAAATATTAGGCGTGTGTGCAAAACTTTCCAGTGTCTCTTTTTTCATACTATGAATTCATTTTCAAAAAGAAGTGGGCACAAGGACTTTTCCAGACACCTAATATATTGATGCAATCTGTATTTATTTATTTACCATTTTAAATCCAATGTTCATGCAGTAGTGCACCTTTTCTGATATCTACTATAATCAATATTATGCTTTTGGTTGATAAGATCTGTCAACAAAATCTAACAAATGATATATATATATATATATATATGTACTCACACACAAAGAACTAAAAAAAAAACTTTCATTGGCTCCATGAAGAGTAGATGATATTAAATAATTAATGTTATCTAGTACACAATTTCTAAAAAACCTTACTGAATAATTTAGTGCTGATCAATATATGCGCTCATATAAGTGAATGGGAAATAGATAATTATTTTAATGCTAAGTATATTTATTTATTTATTATAGGCTGTCAAACATTTTGATAGGAAAAAAAGGTTTTTCCTCTTCATGTTGCAAAATTTTGTCACTTGAACTATTTTTGTTTTAGAATAGAAATAAACCATCTCTTTACAATTTTTGAGCATTTACTGAAGAAATAGAATTATTCTAAAAAGAAATAGGTAGATGCATAAATATAGTATCTTGTAATTGAGGTACTGAAAGTTGATCAAGAATATATGTATTCTGTTTTTAAAAATACATGCTTCTAAAAATCAAGATGTTTAAAGTCTTGTAGCCAATCTCTCCTCTGACCTTCTGCTAACATCTCAATGAGGAAAAACTCATTTTGTTTTATCAATATTCTTATATACAGATTAGGTTTTGGTAACAGGTTGAAGAAAATAAGACATGAATGAGAAATGACTGAACACTTGGTCTAAATTCAACTTGGTTTATTTTTTATGTAAAGCTAGCAGCATATTTTTACGGGTTAGTTTTGTATGTTAGTGCAGCTATATCTACATAGGTTAGTTTTGTATGTTAATGTGTGTTGATATCTAATAATTCCTCTCTGCTAATCAAGACTAACTTTATTTTTTAGGGAAGTTTTGTGGTGGCATGTCATTTAATAAACATTTATCTTATATATATATATAGTCCTTTCAGCACTGATTTTACATTGTGTTGAAGTTCTCTTCATCATCTGTCCCCCGGTGATGTCATCAATGATGATGTTTTGTATAATATCTGCTAATGTCTGGTCCATTATGTGCTGCTATATTGCTGCACTTGATGCAATGGTAAATGGTTTTGTTGGTATAAACCTTTGTGTGTGCTTAGGGTTAAATACTGCTTGGATGATTCTTCCATATCCATTTGCAGATATGTCTGCCCCAAGTCAATCTTTGTAAACTGTTTACCACCTGGCAATTTTGTGAATATGTCTTCAATTTATGGCAAGGGGTATTGGACATGGGAACACAGTGGCTTTATAATCTCTGCAAATCTAAACTGCTCCCAACTTTTTTACTACTAGTACAATTGGAGAAGCTCATTAACTCAGTATTACTTTTGTCAGGATTCCTCTCTTTTCCAATTGGTCTAACTCTGCTTCTACTGTTGGGTGTTATGGATAAGGTATTGACAAAGCCTTTATGAACACAGGTTTTATGTTGTCTTTTAGATTTAGCTTAGCTTCAACTCCTTTTATAGTTGGCAATTCCTTGGTAAAAAAAAAAAACTCACTCTCCTTTGTGAGAAGGTGTCTCAGTTTGGCTTACATTGTCCCCTTTTCTGGTGTTGAATATATCTTGCTAGTTTAATTTTATATTGCAGAGCTACTCTCTGCCAAAGAGTACTGGACCCTTTGAATCCACAGCATGTCCACTTGCATCCCCTGATATTTAACTGAGATCCTAATTTTACCTCTTGGGCATATAGCTGGTGTTCATTATAAGTGTGCATTAAAATGTCTGTTTTCCTGAGTGGTAAATGAGAACTTTTTCTTGTAAATTCTCAGCAGCACTATCGAGACTGCTGACACTGTGTCTAACTCCATTTTCAAGGGTCAGCCTGCAACAGTAGGTGTAATCCATATTCCCTCCAGTCAGTTTTCCTCATGTAATTGATGTTAATGTGTGTGACTAGAAAGTCCTTGTCATCAACACATGGACTACTGACTGTCTCTACTGCATTCATATAGAGTTTTATTTTTATGAGCTTTTAAGGACTTACTTGTTTCTGCATTTCTTCTCCAGGTGGCTTCTTTTTTTTTTTTTTCTTTTTTTTTTTTAAACAAAACCTGTATGTGATTTCCTTAAATAGGCATTGATTTGGTAGAGATCTTGCAGCCTTTGCCTTAACTTATAAGCATCTCTTTTTGCCATTTCCATGGCTACAACTATTTCAACAGTCTTACTGTAAGATAAATTATTCTTGGATAGCAACCTTTTCTGAATCTGTTCCAATTTTAGTACACACACCAGTTTGTCTGGAGTGTATTGTTGAGGTTGTTACCAAATTTGCATGTTTGTGATAGATTCTTCAGCTCTGACACATATTTGTTCAAACTCTCACTTCCTACTAGTCTCATTTATGAAACTAAAATCTGACAAATACAACATTGTAAACCTATCATTATTTCCATAGCAGATGTTTAAATAAGTTCCATTCTTTTAGTTCCACCAGTTCAGACCTTTACAGCTAGGACACACCATGCTACATCTATGAAATCAAATCACACACATTTACTCTGTGTTCAGTATATAAGGAGAAAGTTCTACTTATCCCCCCCCCCAAGTACTGCTACTTTATGGAACAGGTTCCTGCATGGATGCTTCCCTTCAAAACTATAATCCCAACATCTTCAGGTCAGTTTTTATCCACCATATCCTTATAATCTTCATTTCCAACTATCTCTTCTTTCATTCATATTACACACTTCATACATCATTAACATTTAAACAGTAACCCTCTGCTTTGAGTGCTTCTTGAATCTTATATTAGGTGAATGTTAGTAGTAAAAAAAAGTTTATGAAAAAGTAATCTGTTGTTTATAGTATTGTAAGATTACATTCTTTTCCTTGGAGTTTATGACTTCTACTTTAATTAATTATCCAGTTGTAATGGAAAATATGTATTGATTGCTTTACTTAGAACAGTTGCTTTATGATTTTTAATAAATTTCTCTGTCTAATTTTATCAATTCCATTAAAAATATTTAATCTCATGATCTCAAAATGTAATCTTTCCCTATATTATTACTGTTGTCCATAAATTACATAGCAGTCTTTTCAAGTGCAGATCTTTGTTATTTTAGATGAAGATAATAACTATTTGTAGGTTTCAGATATCAATCTCAATACATTTTAGATTTTAATTATTACTATTAATAAAAGTAAATTTATTTTTTAAATGGTTGATGAATTCAGTCTCATATTTGCCATCTTCATTATGCCTGTTTTCAAACCCAATGTCAAACTTAGTAACTCTCATAATAATGAATAAGACTGAATTTACAAAAGAATGTTTGAAACTCTTTCACTTGCATGAAAATATAAAATAATGTCACTTTAAAAATGTTCATTATAGGAAAAAAAGAAAGTCTGGTGCAAAAACCATGAAATGGCCAGTAAGGAAAGATGGAAATATTCACTATCATTTGAGTCAGCTGAAATCCAAACAAGTGGTCAGAATGGGTCAAAGGTAACTGATAAACATGCATTCACATGTTATGGCTAAACATGTTAATTTATACAGTAAGAAAACTTATCTATTTTTATGTGAATCAAAATATCAATGTTAGAAAATCAATGTGCATACGCAATAGTATAGTTGACAAATGACTTAACTGTATTTGTCAGATATTTATTGTGCACAGTTTAATCAAGTGCCATATATGATACACACTTGGGTGATCAGGTTCCTTTCAATTTATGACTGTCTAGGCAGAAGATTTCCTGCAGTAGGCTGCTATTTCTTTCTGCTGTAGACTGGTTGCCAACCAAACCCTCTTTGTCCTGCTATTCAATCTATAGATGGTGGAGAAGAGATGGATCAGTACCTTTCCCAAGGGTATTCACACATAAATGAAAACAACTGAACTAGAATTTCATTTCTGTTCCAATTTCTCATTCTGAGTCATATTTCCATTAAACCACACATCTATTTTTGTGCATAAAATTATTTAATATTCCAAAATAGGAATGTTCATTTATTAGGGATATTCTCTTGAAATGTAATGGAAATGTTAAATATTTGGAATATCATTTAGTTTATTTAAAAGTTATTCTATTATATGAAACTGATTAAATTCTACATGAAACATTATTGATATTTATAACAGTTACAAATTCTAGACATATTTTATGATTGAAAATTACCCATATTACAAGTCACTATTAACTTCATTGATTTTGAGCCTTGCATGTCAATAAAATCTGATTTTCCATATAGAATTTTAAAATGGCAATGTCAGTATCTGGCACAGACATAATGTTGATAGTTATAAATAAATTTATCTAATTTTGATGTAATATTTAAAATGTGCTTCCAGTTTCAAATGGTTATTATCCAAAAGGATAACAAAATATATACTTAAAATCTAAGAAGAATCTGCAGGTACAAATGTAAGTGTAGAGAGACTTTTAAATTAAAGAGAAGTCTTCTCTAATAGGAAGAAGGGGTACTGTGCATATTCTTGTAGATAATTTGTATTAATCATGATTTACTTCATTTTGCATTTCTAGTTTCACTTTAAGAATTAGCTTAAAAGATTACTTTCTGTTAATTGATATTACCTGAAAATACCACTGATGTTCCATATTCTTTAACAAAAGGAATCATTTGCTTCTTTAGATTTATCTTTCCTAATAGCTATTTTTTTTTAATTTCTGGATAGATTGTTTAAAGGAAAGTCTTAGATTTATAACATTTAGGTTATTCATATTATAAATAATGGAAAATCATAAACTGAATAATAGTGATATTTACTTTATTTATTCTTATTCTATACTAACATTGTTAAAACAGTCAAAGACAGATTTAATGATGTTACAAGTTTCTAAAAGTCACATGATTTAGATGCATTAACACTTAAAGATATAACTGTCACACTAACCAGCCCCCATCTAGAACTTAAAGTTACCATTCAGCTGTTTACCAAGCCTCAGACTTTGACCTCTTTCATTATTCATTATTCTGTGAGTAAATAACCTTACCACAAACTTCTTGTCCTCTGGAACATACCTTATAGCTAAGCCACTATCTTGAAATCTCCAACAGATAATCATAATATTGATAATATAATCATTTCTCAGTGTTCTCGTTGGTAAACCAGTAATATCTGTGTAGTTTCTATTATGAGATTGACATTTACCCTGCTGACATTGTGATTGTGGCAAGATTGGGATAAGCGCCTCTGGGGATAATGTCCATCACTGCCAAGGTCAAAAAAGACAACACAGAAATGAACTGATTACTTAACGTTTCCTCTACCATTAAAACTGCAGCCTTTATTTAATTTCTTTCACTCTACTGCCTGCCTATATCTTTCTCCAATCCTTTCTCTTTTTCTCCCCATCTTTATTTGTCTCTTCTAAAAACTCATCTCTTTCCATTATTTTGACATGCTGTTCTGTTTTTCATTCCCTGCATATTCTTATCTTAGTAACTTACTGTTTTTATATTTGTAAAAAGAATAAAACATTGAATGAACTTTGGCATGTTAGCTTCTGGTTGTATTGGAGATAAGGTGAGAACATCTCATCATTGTCAGGCAAAGAATGCACCAAATCATATTCTGTTTCTTTTTTGTGACCAGCTAATTCTTATAGAATATATAATAATTCCATGTCTGCTTACTGATGCATTCTGCCTCTAGGTTTTTACATGTTTCCAGCATTACTTGTCATTCATATCCAATATGTGTGAGCAATAAAGAAAACACACTGATTCTACATAGGACATTTGTTCTTCTTCTTCTTTTTATGCCTTCTTAATGCACATGGGGAATGGGATGGCCATCTTGTCACATATGGTAGAAAAATTCTTTGAGTCAGGCTTAGCTCTAACACCTTCCTTTACCCAGCTTCCACCTCCCCCATCACACTCACTCTCAGCTGTCGATCATTCTCAGTAGAAGCTTTGCATTCCCTAAGCTAACAAGAATTGCTTCATACTTTCTTTTTACACCCATACCCCCATCTAATCAATCTTTTATTGTTTTCTTTCTTTCTTTCTCACACTGCCACCCTCACTGCTGCTGATGCCAATGCTTCTGCTGATGCCAATCACTTAGAATTATTCTGGGCTCATAATACATTCTAAGGCACATACACTGATGCACTAAATTGATTCCTTTTGATGATATTCTTACATCATTGTTGTCTCATGAAAGAAATAACCAATCACATTGATTGGCTGCTGCATCAAGGTATCAGCCTTGATGTTGTTGCTCTTCAATGATTATAGAAACTATTATTCTTTCCCCAGGTTTCATAGCCCTTTCTATTCCCTATACCTCAATCTGGTTATACTCTTCTAAAATACCTCCTCCCACTTTTGCATGTTGTTTCTAAATGTCTTCCTACTACTAGAAGCATTATCTGTCTGCATAATCCTCAGAGCCAATAGCCAGGTGCCTAGGTACATATGTGAAATAAGAGAATTGATTAAGATTATCCAATTAAACTGCTATCTTTACAAATTTTTTCCAAATATTTCTTATCAAATATTTTCTTTCTTATCATAAATTCTATTTGTATATGAATTTAATTTTATTGTATTATTTTCAAACATCTGTCTTTGTCTAACAACCAACACATATATAAGTAACAAAAAGAATACAGTGTAACCTGGATATAAGAGAGTTGTTGGGACCGGAGAAGAAGTCTCTTATATCCGGGTTTCTCTTATATCCGGGTTTGGTCTATTTTATATACATTAACACAGGCTCTAATTTGGGACCAGAGAAAATCTCTCTTATATCCGGGTTACACTGTACTAAATATTATTCAGTGGTATATACAACATACATAGATAGACATAGTTTCTGTATTAGATAATTTGGGATATTTTTCTTCAATATATTTTATATTAAAGTTTCTCATTTCAGCCAGTTGTCCCAGAAACTTAATGAGACTAAAGAATTCCCTTATTCTCAATATCAGGTAAGGAGGTTATAAATATTCTGGTTATTCAGAGCAAAGGGAATAATTAAAGCAGCTGCAAATTGAACTGGAATAACCTTGCTTTATAACAGACTGACCTGTTTGACCTGAATTCATTTCCTCTGAGGCGCAATTATAAAATTCTCCTTTCTAAATAAGTATAGCTTTGAAATCAATACTGTCAAAGTTCTTTACCTATATACAAGAGACAATTTATTTAGTACCCAAGTGAAAATTTCATAAGATGCTTTTAGTTTAAAGTAAACCATAAGAATCCATTATTAAATCTATATATGATAACAGATTTACAGTAATTTCATGCTTCTTTAAGATTGTTATGTTGTCATTTTTATATATGAGATTGATATAAACATCACTGAGTTCATCTTTATTGTTTTATTAGACAAAGTATTGTCAAACATTATTCATTTTTTATTAGTATTTACTCTCATCTTAATTTTTTAGTTAGTTTTTATAACTTTATTCAAGCAATCAGTCTTTATTTCTGGTCTGTACAGACTACTCACTGCCATTGATGATATTTAAATTGGAATATAAAATAACTATAAAATTATATTGTAAACAATGAAATTTTTCTTTTGTTTAAAAGGATGTAATAAGAATTATGTATTATATCAAGTATGTATTTTGTCTAACAGATTAAAATTTGAGGTTTTCTTATTTATTTGTTAGAATGTCTAATTAACAATGTCAAGACAAGTAAAGAGTGAAAATATGTTGGTGTAACAAAAATCAAATGTACAGTTATTCACAGGAAAGCAAAAGTATTTTATATTTTCTTTACATTATTTGGATATAATGCTTTCTTTGTGAATGAAACTTTAGTTATGGATGGTGGAGCATCATGAATTGTAGAATGGTATGTGTGTTTTCTGGAAACATTGCTTGTATAGAATTAGAACAAACATGAAATTGCAAAAATATAAAAGAAGTAATAAATTGAAAATGGAGAAGTTTTACCTTTGCTGAGTCAGATTAAACTACAAGAATTTTCAGATTCAACAAGTGCTTGAGCTTCCTAAATCTAAGAAATTACTAATTTGTAAAATTTTTAATGAAGTAGAATGGATGTTATAAGCTGGCAAAGCAACAGAATGAAACAATTTTATAATGGATATTGTACATGGATTGTGATGAGCTCATTTGGTTAGATTTTGAATATGGAGTCTTGCAATGGAAAACAAATGGTACAGAACATATAGTGAAGAGATTATATTTATGTAAAGGACAAGTTCCTCATAATGGTCAGCCAAGAATATATACAAAATGGATTTGTATAAACAAAAGAATATAATAAAAAAACAATTAAGTCAAGACTGGTAGCAAAAGGCTTTCAAGATGTGGAAGAAGGCAATATTATAAGTAATTCTCTTATGTGTTCTTAGGAAGATTTTATATTTGCAATTGGAATAAAATCTTTAAAGAGAAGGGTTTGTAAATCAATAGATATCAAAACTGCTTTCCTACAAAAAGAGAAATTTGATAAACAAGTTTATGTTTTCCTTTAGAGGTCACTATACTGCAAGGTTACCTTTGGAAGCTGTCAAAATTTGAAGATGGAAATGTTTCTTGTGCATAGTTTTTAATGATCAAAAAGAATTAATGAAGGTGGGAGCAATTCCTTCAAAATATTAGCAAACTTTCTTGACATGATATTTTAGCCATAAATTGAATATTGATTACTTCTGTTTTGATTGATCATGGTTTTTTCATACCACACTTATAGACCAATTTCATAAAGTTTTCAAAATTTAGTCAGAAGAATCAAATAATTTTAAATCTTGTATGTAAAGAAAGTTGAGGAGAGTATAGTATTTGGACAAGATGAATATATAAAATTCTGGGTGCCTGTTCAATGGGAACTCACAGAAATGTTCAAAACAAAATATTGTAACGTGAGGTTACAGAAATCAAGCAGTTGGACTGTTTGTCGACACAGACAAGACCCAATAGTGAAGCAGAAAAAATTGATGGCATTAAGCAAAAATCAAAACAAAATCTTGGCTGTTCCTGTTTTGGCTAACCTTGAAAAAGTAAAGTTGCTTTCATTGATACCTCATTTGTTAAACTATTAGATGGATGATGTCAAGGAGGATCTATATTAGTTTTGGTTGATAATGACAAATACATATGTTGTGGCAGTCTAAACATAGAAAAGTCGTCAAAAGCAACTTGGCTGCTGAAACCATCAGCCATGGTTGATGCTATGTCTTGTTAAAGTGTATTCAATGGTATTCATAAGTCGCAGAGTACATCTACTAAAATGACCTTGATTACAACTGCTGTTGTTGCTTCAAGTAGATGTTTTGTATTTTCCTTCTTATGTAAATCAGGCAACCTCTTACATACCACTACATTTCCTCCTGGAAACATGTAGCCTTTATACCCATTGTAGGTCTTTTGCTTCTTCTCTACATGGTTTCATTTTCTGGATGTCTTTCTTTTTCTTGGAGATCTTGATCTTGCTTGCTTTTTGTTATATCCAGAGTATTTATTGTTCTTCTATTGTTATGTCTTCATCAGATGTTTTAGAATCTTGTTCACCCTGTTGATCATCCATGATTTCATTTGTTTCATTCTATAGATCCATATTTTGTTGTTGATCTGCAAGATCATAACTGGGAGTGGAGCTATGAAAAGTTCCTAATTCTTGTCCTCCTCATAATCTTTTCAGCGTCTCTTATTCAGTATGCATAAGCTACTATGCTGTTCCCATTCTTTTTCTTTGCTACAAGGGCCTTGTAACATCTCTTTTTGCATTATAAAATTATCCCATTCTAGATCTGGTCCCTTATTTGTTTTATACTACATTCTCTCATTTGTGAAATAAAAAATAATTAAAGGAGTTTTAATTTTCCTTTTCATTAAGGCTGATGGGCTTTCTAGTCTACCAATATGTGGTATGGTATGGGAGCTTAAAAGCTGTCCCAGTAGAAAGACTATTTTCTCTTTCTACCATTCTTTTCACTATGCTATTTGACTGAGAATGATGGACGAGTTGTAAGGCATACATCCTATTATTCTTATCAATGACCCAAATACCTCATTGCAAAATTCTGGATATTTTGTGCGATACCAGGGTTTTTGGTAATAAATTTCTCAACTTTTTTTCTTCTCCTTCTTCATGTAGATCGGTTAACTTCTTACATGCAAATATATCATCACAGTTGACCTTGTAGAAGCAAGTATTTTCTACAGACAATTTATAGTTTGGTTTGGAAGTTGAAGCTTGAAATAATGTCTATAATCTGTTATGCAAATAATTTTTCTCTTCCTGATGCAGTGTTTTTGTTTTAATCATTTCACCCTAAGCAAGGCAATAAAGCCACTAGGATGCAAGAAGTTACTGAGTGTTAGAGAATATGAGAAAAACTACTATTAAGGAGAGAGAACAATAAAAGAACAAGAATTAAGAAAACAGAAACCTATGATTGACATAAGCATTAAAATTTTTGAAGAAAAATGTAGACTGTGAAGCAAGATGCCAGAAGAGAGTTTCACGAATGAGAAGTGCAGGAGAAGAAGCTATTAGCATAGAACTTATGGTTAAATTTAGCCATGTCAACTGTAAAATGATCAGACCTTTAGGCCAATCAAATACTATGTTTTAATTAGTAGAATCTAGGTACCATATAGGAACGTTCATCAGAACAATTTCCATGAAAGTATAGAAAAGGCACAAAAAAGCTATATTATGGCAGTGGGAAATTGACTGAAGCCAAGATGCCAGGTCAAGACCAATAACATTTCAGATTCTGCTTTGGATTTTATCAAGAATCCCTAAATATATAGCAAGAGCACCAGGCCATATATGGCAGCAATATTCCAAGCAAAGATGAATGGTAGTCTTATAAATATGTAAGATAGATTCTGACGAGAAAAATTGTCTAATACAACATAGTGAAGCAACTTTCTCAGCTGCAGACTTAGCAATTGATTCAACATACTCTTTCCACTTCATGTCAGCTGAAAACGTTAGTCCCAGAAGGCACAATGAGTCACTCTGTTGGAGGTTAGCATCAGCCATGCTGATAGAAGGTAAAAAAGGGCTCTCAGATGATTAAAAGAGAATAGTTTCACTTTTGAGGTATTAAAATGAAAAAGCCACTCCTTGCTCCATTTAACAACAGATTATAGGTCATTTTTGAGATCAGCTGTCAATTTGACCTTATTGAATCTATCACACTTACTATTAGACAAGTAAATAGATATCGTCAGCATAGATAGAGTTGAGAACTGATGACATCAGGATGGTCATTTATGAAAATTAGAAACACAGTAGGCCCAAGGATAGAGTACTGGGAACATCTGCATTGATGCAAAAAGATCTAGAAGCGTGGTTATTCAAAACAACTTTCGCATCATTTTGCATTTTGATAAGAAAAACTGAATCAGTTCAAAAATTTGCCTTTTCAACTTTTATTCTTCCTCTCAAATTCTACAGAAGAGATTCAGCATTGAAATTACTATCCTTAGATGTTAAATAAGGGTTAAATAACAACAATAACATGGTTATCAACAGAGAAAGGAGTTTATTTAGTTATATTTAACCTATTATCTGCCATGAGCCCCATTTGGGGATCTGTTAAAATTAAACTCACTACATGTTATTCCTAGTATTTACATTGAATTTCTTACATAGATTGCATTTGTAAAGGTATATTTTACAACACTTAGCCTTTAAAGCTTTTATTATTAGCCGTAAGAAGACACTTTCTGTCCTAATTTTACATTTCACGAGTAGAAAAATAATGATTATTTTTTATGTTTTATACACATATATTTGATGTTCTAGTTTCTATAAAAACGACAATGGTAACTACTGAAATTAAACAAGGAATAAATAAACTCCTAAGACACCTGTCTGGCAAAAATGAACCTGGAAAATTAATCTACAATGGTTAACAGATACTTTTTGTGAGATGAGGAAGGTTGTGGACCCTTAAAGTCAATGCTCAGATGATCATAAGGCATCTGAT